TTAAGTGTGGAAAATGCATTTTGACCCAATTATCTAGCGTGAATTCATCTTTTAAAGGGTCAAATATGGGACATCAAGTACTGTATTTCAAGAATGTGATGTCTGATCATCTTTGAAAAATTCATACTAATAGGGGTATAAGTGTTCATCACAAATATAGAATATGGCTTGGGTAGCTCATGTATTTTTTGAAATAAAAATTATCGAAATTTGAATTTCTAAACCTTATTCTACCTTAATAATTTTTAAGATATGCAATGTATGGGTCTCATATGAGTTCAAAATGGTGCATTGAGTCTTGTTTTGTCATATTATTCCTAATTGGATTGAAAAATGATTGGAACTTTTCAAAAAAAAAAAAAAAAACATTATCGCTTCTGAAGGGCCAGGGGTAACCATATTTTACCTTTATAACTTTCAAGGTTTGTAATATATGTATCCCAAATTAGCTCAAGATGATGCATATAGTTCTGTTTAATCATAATACCTCCAATAAGATGAAGAAAATGATTGGACATTTCTTAAAATTTGAAATTTTCATTTTAGCTTATGGTGGCCTGGGGGGGGGGGGCTTATTTAACCTTGAACTTTTCTTAATTATGAGACGTATGCATCTCAAATGAGTTTAGAATTGTGTCATATACTCTTGTTTTGTCATATTATTCCTTAGGTGATGTAAAAAATAATGGAAATTTGAAAAATGACATTTTTAGCTTTTGACAGGTCAGGGGTGATTTTATCATATATTACCATAATATAGAAGCAAAGGATGGAGTGAGTTTAGCAGCCCCGTCCCCATGACCGATGCCATTGGCAGCTTGGGTCTTAAAGCATTTATGACCCAAGCTGCAATAAACCATGCTGACCTATTCTCAACCAATCAGCGAGCTTGAAGGAACAAGTGGTAAATGCGTGCACATTAATGATGCGATTTCGTCAGAGAAAATGACCATATAGAAAGCCGTCCTTATTTCGACAACAAACTCTGATTAGCACAGTGAGTTCAGAGATTCATTGAAAACTGATAGAGTGAAGACGAAGCTCTCTTTTGAGAAGGAAAGTCGAATGAATGCAAAGGGTAGTAAGTCCAGTCACCTTAGCCTGATGGGGGGGGGGGTTAATAGGTGAGCTGCTTCTGTCAACGATTCTGTCAGTGAATAATGACAGTCAATGATTGAGCACAAGAATGCCAAATGTTATCACAATAATTTTCAAGATAAAATGATCTCAAAATGGGGAAATAGTCTGTTTTTCACTTTATTCCTACTGAGATAATGATTAACAACAATTAGAAAATTCAGTGACACATTTAAATCTCAATCCATTTATTCCATTTTTCCATAGCAGTAGAATACAGATGTAACATCACATCCAATGATTGTATGAGAAATGGGGAGGATTAAACTTTGGTCATGGGCAGGTAGATATTGATATGTTTTCTCCCTTACCATATGCTATCCAAATTGACTTTTTCAGTTTTTAACATCACATACAGTATATGCCAGGATAACCACATCAGAATTAAATGTAAGGAGTATTATTCTTTCTCTTGAAGGCCATGATTGAAGCAGTCTAACTGAAAATATTGAGAAATATCCTTGAATCTGCTTCTTCTTATAAGAGCAAGGGTGATGGCAGAACCTCACTGTTGGGCTAAAACATTGCATTGCCTCCTTAATTTATGTGGTCACTATCTTCTTTCCATCCATTTCAAGGATTTCAGTTTCCTCCTTAGACTATCCTTGTTCCAGTTCCACAAGTCTCTCTAGTGCTGTTTTAAAGGTGCAACAATTAGTGCAAAGGGGCCATTCAACAATCATGGACCAGTGTCAAAATATATTCAAGTTTTGATATTTCATCAAGACTAACATATACTATACATTGAACTCGTATGTTTATTTCTTTCCAAAGAAACCCCCTGGATGAACATTATTTCAGCTGATTCCTCTTGAAATGTTTTGGATCTTAAAAACCTATAAGTGGGACTCCCTTTATAGAAGCTTTGAACTGAATTTACACTTCTTAATGCTGAAATTGATAGTTTATCCATACATTTTAAGAAAATAGGTATGCCAAAGCCAAATATTGCCCTGATAGCTCAGAAAAAGTAACAAAATTGAATCTTCTACAGACCTTGTTGCCCCTTTAAGCTAGTGTCCTTGTAAACATCCCAGCTGACATCAAGGCAATGAACTATTTGCAGACTTTTACGTGGGTAATATCATATTTGCATAATCACCAAATTTTCTTTATATTTCACTGTTAGCATGTTTAACTATACATGCCCTGTCTATTATTTTGGCATCTACTATGTAGCTTAGTCATTCAACTTTGATGTTAATGAGCATAGATACAAACAGCACAAAACTGGAACAGTGAGGAAAGTATATCCTATTAATTTTCTTCTGTGGAATTGGCAAGATTTCCTAAGATGGTTGGAACAAGAGGGAGCTGTTTTCCTTCCAGGCATCAAAACTGAAACCCTGGAGGAAGATGGCAAGAAGATAGTGACCTCACAATGAAGTAATGCAATATCTTAGCCCGATAGTGAAGTATCTGCCATCACCATTCGCTCATATGAAGAAGCATGCCAAAGACTGCTTCTGTCATGACCTAATAAGAATCATAGTCAATACAGTTGATTTTGATGTGGTTTAAACTGGCAGAAACTTGTGCTGAAAATGTCAATTTGGATTGCATATGGCCTATGGTGAGGGGAAATTCCTCCAGTATGTACGACCTGCCTTAGATATTTCAAGGCCACTTGGCCATGAATGAAGTTTAGCCCTTACCATTTTTCATACAATCGCTAGATGCATTCTGCTACTACTCTTAAATCAACTGATTTGCAGGAATAGAAGGTGTACCCAGAGGTTACGCAAGTGTTCTTAAGCTTTAAATCTTTTTTGATACCCTAAAATTAGAAGACTAGAGTCCTTATTCATTCTGATGCATTCTTACCCACAGTTTCTATCACCACATGAATGTGGCTGGACTACTCCCACTGCTGATACTGAGGCCACAACATAAAATGTAGGTCATGGGGTAGATACCTGTGTCAAGAGAACAGATGCAAATGTTTGAAAGCAGATCTGATTTGCTCTGGACTTTTCAAATATTTTCATATCCTAGAAAATGTTCTATAAAACTAGATAGTATTGCCATTGGTACTAAAAAGGAATAAATGGCTGTTGAGGTTCATTTTTTTATAATTGTTAATCATTATTGTATATCTCAGTAGCAATAATATGACAAAAAAAACTAGACTATATTCACTATTTTGAGCTCATTTGAGTAGACAATATGATATATCTTTGTTTAAATTTTTAAGGTAAAATTAGGTCATTCCTGACCTATCATAAACTACACTACCAATCTCAAACTGCATCAAACAGCATGGTTTCATAAACAGTGCTGTAAAAACAGTACTGAACACAGCTGTTTTCTAAAACAGTACTGAGCTGTAAAAACAGTACTGTACTATGCTGTCCAAAACAGATGGTGTTAGAATAGCATTGTACATTGCTATATAGTGCAGTACTCTGACTGCACTGTTCAGTACTGTTTACAGCGCTGCAAGAAGATGTTGCGGATTGGGGGTGTAATATGAAAATGTCATTTTCTTAATAATTTCCAATCATTTTTTCACTCCTTGGGAATGATATGATAAAACAGGACTAAATATACCATCTTAAGCTCATTTGAGGTGACTATGTCTCATATTTAGAAAATTATTAAGGTAAAATAAGGTTACCCCAGGGCCATCAAGAGCTTAAGTGAAAATTTTGATTTTTTAGATATATCCGATCATTTTCTACATCTTATTGGAGGTATTATGATTAAACAGAACTATATGCAACATCTCGAGCTAATTTGAGATGCATATATTACATATCTGGGAAATTATTAGGGTAAAATATGGTTACCCCTGGCCCTTTAGAACCGAAAATGAAAATTTGATTTTTTTTAAATTTCCAATAATTTTTTTAGATTTAATTAGGAATAATATGACAAAACAATACTTAATGCAACATTTAGAATTCATATGAGGCCCAAACATTGCGTATCTTAAAAATTATTAAGGTAAAATAAGGTCACCCCTAGGCCGCAAGGGCTTAAATATCCATATTTCGATAATTTATTTCTCAAAAATTACATGAGCTACACAAGCCATATATCATATGAGTGATTAACACCTATATCTCTATTAGTATGAATTTTTTCAGGATGATCAGACATCACATTCTTGAAATACAGTACTTGATGTCCCATATTTGACCCTTTGAAAGGTGAATTCACGCTAGATAATTGGGTTAAAATGTATTTTCCTTCCTAAACACCACTTCTAAAGTAGGTTTTTCTCAATTTCAAGGCTCAAAGCAATCACCAAATGAAGTCATTTAAAGAAATATACTTTACAACTATTTTTATTTATTTTATTATAATGTACCCCCTCCCCGCCTGATAGGGGTGGGGGTCAGAGGCTTACAATCCATGAAGACCACCCCGAATCACTTGCCCCGAAATCATTTTTCATTCAGATCATATGTTTCTACAACTGTGCCAAGTTTGTTGCTTTCCTGAAAAAGTCGAACTACCAAAGGGACATCTGACTGCGCTAAATCTTTGATGGGAAGTGTAGGTTATCCCCGAGTAGAGCTATCATGTTCCAAATTATAGATTTTTTCTTCTATCCTTCATCTCTGCAGATGTCAAATCCAATCGCACTATTTTCAATATACTTGTTACAATGCGCATTTATCGAATACAATCTGCGTAAAATGTCCCTCCGCAATGCTTTGCTTTTTATAAGATATCCAACATTATTAGCGAAACATTGTGACCTACATCTAAAACAAATAAACAAACAGATTCATAATACTGTATTTCTTTATTTTTGAAATAACAATGAAAATGAAAAAATAGCGAACTATTTTCTGTCAAAATTCCGATTTGCAAGTCCGCAGGGAGGGAAGAACCTACAGCAGTTGTAGAACGTAGTTTTACCAAATTATAAGTTGTTTTTTCATGGCGTCATAGATGTAGTAGGGTACACATAAGGTCACGGATTTAAATATCGAGGAATTAATAGTTTGTACAAGAATTGTCATTTACAACTGTAGTGGACTAGCCGTTACGAGGCTACTTGAGAAAAAAGCATTTTACATTAGATATTCTGCAAAGGTTACATGAATAGGAAAGTTGAATTTATATAGCACATTTACAAAGCACACTCAACGAGGATTAAACAATTACATGGTAAGTACAAATTCTGCGATTTTTAAGTTTGGAGCTGTTTATCAAAGTCAAGTATATAAAGAACTTTTAGAGTTCTTTAAAACATAATGCAAGCCTTATGCCTTGGTCACATTTGCTCCAATTTTTACTACGGCGCCCGGCCGATTCAGTATTTTGTTCAAAATTGAATACAATATTGAGCAAAACAATCAATCGGCCGGGCGCCGCCGATGGATCGGAGCAAATCTGACCCAGGCATTACCATGATCAAAAAACATTGTGCGATTTGAAAGACTAATATACTCGCGACTACACACAAATTTTGAACTATAAATAAAGAATCTTATTGATGGAGCTGTCACACTTAGACCGTGTAGACTGGGTGCTCACGTTTCGCCACCGTGTGAATACTTTGGAGCAGACGGCGGCGCACGGCATGGGTACACGGTGGTTAAAACAAATAATTTTACAGCAAGATATCCAAATACCAAATACCAAAATTAATTAATCAAAATTAATAAACCTAAAATTAACCACACGATGGCGAACTGTGAGCCCACACGGCTAATGTGACAGTTAATTTAGGAATCGACTAAGGCAGATCAAAAATAATGAGGTATATCCAGAACCAGGGCAATATCAAAACAATAAAAAATGAATTCCATCAAGACCATGAAACTGTGTCAAAACATCCCAAAAAGACCATGAACATGGGAGCAAACAAACAAAAATAATTCAATGAATTCCATAAACTTGTGTATCAAAATAATACAAAAATGAAAGAATGAATTCTATTGGAGCAAATGTCACTCAAGCATTATAAAGCAATAAAAATCTCATGTTCGGTTCGTCCGAAATATCGGAAACCTATTATTCATTGTATAATATTTACTCTTTTATATTTCAGATGATGATGTACGGGGTTATATTGGCCGCGACATGCCTTGTCACACACGTGTCGACGCGACGCAGTAAGTAGTCCGACCATAATAGTTCTATTCAATATAGACCGACGAGGAAATCGACGAATAAATACCGCAGGGCTAGGCTTCGGTCGTTAGGAGTTCGAAAACTCTTGTGTCCAGCCCTAAGGTATTTATTGCTCGATATAATACCTGATCTTAGGTCTATATTATGATTCCAACATGAAAACTCACCAAAAGTTGGCAGAATCGTCACTTCATTTCCTTCTTCTTGTTTAGCGTTTAGCACTAAACGAAACACAAAGTGCAGACCAGGTATTGTATCGAAAAATAGATACCGGATAAAATATTGACTTCGCTCACAGCTTACAGTCATGTTCGAATCATCTGTAATATATAGGAATTCAAGAAAAAGGCAGTAAATCAAAAAAGGGGGACACTCTTCCTTCAATTAGTCAACAATCGGAAGCCCCCTTTTGAATCCCCTATCACGATTTGGAAAAATCTTCAACTTAATTAAGGAACGGAAAATGAGATTTCATTATCCAATTCAGATATCCGGTTGCAAAATGCATATTGTGTGGAGTGTGTCAAGAAAACAAGCATTCGCATTGCATTCAATGATGTTACACAATACGAAACTTTCAAATAACTACTATTGGAAATCACATGACCAAGAAGACACGTTGGCGGTAATATATAACATATGCAATATTATTGCAATAAATGTTCATTGTACCAAATGTAAATGACCAAACGTTAGCAGCAATAGAAATCATGTATTTTAACCTCATCCCGTAAGCTAAGTCCATAATCAATTGAAGCATGACAATATACATGAATAACATACTATTTAAACCATTTCATTGAACCATGTTTATATTGTCCATTTTGGAATAAATTCTAAAGCGTTAAATTGTTATATGTTCATATGTTGCATGTTTATATCGTTCACTTTAAAATGTAAATTAAACATGCTCAAATGTTGCATTGTCTTATGTGTACATTGAACCTTGGTCACATTGTATATTGTACCTTGGTCACATTGTATATTGTACCTTGGTCATATTGTACCTTGGTCATATTGTACATTGTACCTTGGTCATATTGTATATTGTAGCGTGTTTCTCTGAAGTTGACTGCGATGCTACTAATAAGGAGTACTGTTGTGGGTGTGATAAAATGTTCTTAGACGGATACGATAACGTGAGTTAAACCCACGTTCACGTTCACACTTTACGTACAAATATTTGAAAGAATCTCTCATCAAAAACAGTATTATCATTATCAATATTATCATTAATCATTCGGTGAACTGTTCTTAAACGAATACGATAACCCGTTTTCACGTAATGTTTGTCCATGTAGTAAATGTTTAACGTACATATACTCATAACTTTTATAATACAGTTACTTCGCGGTGAAGTAAACGAGAAAGTGAAAAACCCACCTCAGAAGCCCCAGAATTTATTCTATATAACATTTTAGGGGGGAGGGGAGGGAAGCCCCCCCCCCCTAGATCCGCTTGTGAACTGTATAACCAAATTAAAGTCATTGATATTAATTTCGATAGTATTCTTTAAAGTAAATAATCTCAAATTAAACTGAATTAAGAAAACTTAACAAGGAAACTACTTGTGCAGGGTGTCCAAAAAACAGAACCGTAAGACAGTTGAATTACTCGGTCAATTTTGCATATTTTGCCTTGAAATTTCAGAATTATTTAGTTCATTCAATGTGAATTTTGTTGTGAAAGTTTGATAATAATCTGCCAGTTGAGTCAAAATCTAGAGTTCCTGACAGAACATGCCCTAAATGTGACCTCTCCTCTCTATGCACAATTCAATCCGGCGAACAAAGTTGTTGATGATCTTCCTCCACACATATCTTTCTGAATGGACAAGGTTTTTCCAAAAACAATTGAAACTGGGGCTTAGTTTTGGAGGTCACTAAGGACCAGAATGGACATCTAAGGAGATAAGAAGTGGTTTCAATAAGCCAATACCACCCTAACACTTCAAATGAGATGCTGAAATGGTTTAGGCAATGCCTTGGTCAATCAGTCGCAGAATGCAAACCATATGGGCAGCTCATTCGCCAGATCTAAATCCCCCAGATTTTTATCTTTGGGGATTTCTCAAAGCCAATGTGTATACTGACAGGCCCCTAACAATCTTAAGAGGGCAATAACTACCCAAATATGTACCATCCACATTGATGTGTATAGGTAAGGGTCATTCACAACTTGGTTCACAGTTTTCGTTTGGGTGTAGAGAGAAGTGCCCACTTTGAGCTTGTTTTGTAAAGTACAGTAGCTTTTGACGCAATTGACGGATTATCATCAAACTTCCAGAACAAAAGTCACATTGAATGAACGAAACAATTCTAAAATTTCAAGGCAAAATATGCAAAATTGGCCGAATTATTCAACTTTCTTACTGTCCTGTTTTTTGGACACCCTGTACTTACTTACGAATAAGCTTATTTCCTCATATTGTTTTTATAAGAATCCATAATAATATACGATATTTAGATTTTTTGTATCCGACTCCAGGTTTATGTGCCTTTTTATAATCATAATTTGTAAAAATGAATTGAAATTAAATAGTACATCAATTCCTTTTAAGCTTAATTATGAGGATACCCAGGATTCAAAGATGACTCCATACATGTTCATCTATGAATTCTGGTCTAATTTCTCCTCTTTCTACTCTTACAACTTCTCAAGTCGCTGATTTCTCGCCGATTGCTTTCCGACGTCGTGGCGCCCGCCAAACAGCTGCGCTCCAGACCCATTCGAATTTATTTCATTTACTTGTCATTCATTTCTTATATTATTTCTTTTAGGAGCCCAAAACTCCGTACTTTATGTTGACTCAGGGAGCGTGTAAGAGCAGATCATGTCTCACGAAACCGGACGAAAACGCCCCCATAGGAACCTGTGCCCGGGAACTTTGGGGTAGGGAAACAATATATATTTGTACTGTGTAAAAATATGTCATACGCATACATGGCTTTCTTGGTACTCTCGGAAGTTTGAATTAAACAAATGGCATCGTGGATAATATAATTCAATCCCATGCTTTTGTCTTTGACATAATATGCTCGGGATTTAATGTTTATACATGTATATTTGTTTCTAAGTACCCAATACTGGTCCCAATATGAATATAGCAGCTATGTAAATCAAGACGAATACGACCATTTAAAAGCAATTGTCAATCAAATTATTTTTTTACTTTCAGAGGGTTTTGAAAAGAAACGTAAGTATGAAAAATGTATAGTTATAGACATTGTAACATCCATTTGCTAATATTTACAAATCACAATAATTTTCGATTTTATAATCTTAGTATATGCCACACAATTTAAGACACTTGAGATGATAAGTCACTAGTTAAACAATTTTTTGCCAAGTAATTTTGCCAAGCTATCTTTTTCAAAAATGTCTAGAGATGTTTGATTTATGGTTCTTTTACATTCCATAACTTTACATACAGGCAGACATATTTCTGAAAATTCTTATAAGGTCATCAAATAATCATATTGAATTGAATTGTTGAATTTCTTCTAAATACGTAAGACGAAAAACCATCAATCGGCATTTTTGAAACAAAATAGTATTCCAGGTGGACCCGTCTTTCCTCTATGCGATTGTTAAATTCACCATATCGCTTAAGTTAATGTCATTACGCTGTAGAATATATTATAGGTACCGGGGAGCCTGTGTGTGGCGTCGACCTCGTGTTTGACATTAACATAAGCAGAAGTACCTCCAGAGCTGGCGTTAATGTTTGGTTTGAAGAGGTCGCCGATGGTCTTGTGCGTGAATTTATGAAACGTCTTGTCAAGCAGCTACGTATCGGGCGAACCTCCAAGCAATCACTTGTCGGCGCTATGGGGTAAGAGTTGATTAGGATATTTTTGATTTTCTTGTTAAAGTGTTTAAAATGCCCAGTTAATAGAAGGTAGCACCTAATCATTTTAGGTTAAAATATCTAATTTTACCTCGACCCTCACTCTGATCTTATTCTTCTGTATCACAGACGATACTCCGGATCCTTACGATTCAGCCTTTATATAAGTTTCAGAAAAGCTAACAGTTTTTAGACTGAAACCGGAGATTGCCGAAGATCTAACCATAATGCTTCAAAGAATTTGATTGGTTCATTGGAACACATTCGGCCATCTTCGGAATATAAACATGTTCGGTTATAATATCACGACCATTAGAATTAAAACTTAATTTTTGCAGGGTTGTTACACAGATACATTCTGCATCGTCTGTGAAATTTTCATGGAAAAATATAAAAAACTCTTAAAATGAGAGCAAAATTATGAGAACTTATTGAACGACCTGGTACATCGGTCCTCTTCCTTTTAGATACTACGGTGACACTCGTCGTCACTTTGGAGTACGACAAAACCCGAATATAGGTGATCTGCTAACGGCCATTGACGGAATTGATCTGAGTTATGTACGAAAGTCAAAACCTTATAAATCATTCAATGCCATAAGAGAAAATTTCTTCGGGGACACCAAGGATGGAGCACGAAAAATGAATAAAAATGTCGTTATAGGTGAGGCATGGATTTTCTTTTTGTGATTTATTACTGCTTGAAACAACCTTTTAAACCTATTCATGTTTTTATGTTTAAGTTAGCTGTGAAACTTCCTCTGGGTATTCACCCCAAAGATGTCTGCAATCAAATTTATCATGTTCTATCGATTATTGGCTGTAACAACTATACACTTCCTTCATTCCCTCTCTTTGATTTGTTGTTTAAAATTCCTAGATACCTCTACAAGTAACCTCTACAAGGTCTTCTGTACAGATATTTTTTCAGCTATGAATTCTGGGGTTTTCCCTTCTTTGCCATATAGTGAGATATTGCCAACATTCTAAATCCTGACCTTAATAACGTTGTTGGCCAAAATAATAAAATGTATTCATTCGCGGTGACGGAAAATCCAAGATGGCCGCCTTAACATTTGTGATCCTTTTAATAGAGAGTTCACTACTGATTTTAAAAGTTGTCACTATCTTAATTTTATCCAGTTTTTGACGACGGTGTATTCAGTCGCGGTGACCGCCGTGGAAGAGCCTGGGATAAGTTCAACAAAGCAGTAAAAGCCCTTCATGAGGTGGCCGAAGTATTTGTAATTGGAATAAGAAATGGGTATCAAGTCACTACTGAAGACGGTACGAAAATTCAGTGATCTTAGGTAGCATTCGTGACTGCTGGCTAACGGTTTCCTGTTTAAAAGAGGTGGTCAAAAAGTAATGGCTAGGATAATCCGACAGCCGGCAGCTGAATTCGCAAGCTTAGCTTAGCCATTTACGTATTTCCAAAACCGGAAGTATTTCTGCTCGTGAGCAATTATTATATGATAGCACTATTGCTAGTTTAACTTCCCTGACATATCGTAATTGTTACGATCCTGCTATATACTGAAGCAAATTATAATTTGTCCCATAATTCATAAGATCACGATCCTGAGTTATTAACGGATTAGGTCAACATGATTGATTTATGCCGATGCCAAGTGTCATTAAAACTGTTTTCATACATTTTCTAGGTTTGTATTTTTTGTATCACCCTAAATGTCATTTTGTTTGCTTCGGCTCCATTTTTGTGTCACCCTGTATGTCATTTTTTGTTTCAGCTCTACCGAATCTGACCCTCATGGCAAGTGAACCAAAAGAGACACATCTCATCACGACATCTATCGAGAAGTTTTCTAATGGACGATTAGATGAATTGGTGTTTGAAACTATACGAGTTCTTCCTACCGATTGTCTTATTAATCACCCTCCTGAATAGAAACTATATTACCGTTGCCCCACTCGAACACCAACTCCATGCTTGATCTAACTTCCCTCTTGAATAGAAACTATATTGCCGTTGCCCCACTCGAACACCAACTTCATGCTTGATCTAACTTCCCTCTTGAATAGAAACTATATTGCCGTTGCCCCACTCGAACACCAACTTCATGCTTGATCTAACTTCCCTCTTGAATAGAAACTATATTGCCGTTGCCCCACTCGAACACCAACTTCATGCTTGATCTAACTTCCCTCTTGAATAGAAACTATATTGCTGTTGCCTCACTCGAACACCAACTTCATGCTTGATCTTACTTCCCTCTTGAATAGAAACTATATTGCCGTTGCCCCACTCGAACGCCAACTCCATGCTTGACTAACCACCTTCCTGAATATAAACTCTATTCCCGTTGCCTCACTCGAACGCCAACTCCATGCTTGACTAACCACCTTCCTGAATATAAACTCTATTCCCGTTGCCTCACTCGAACGCCAACTCCATGCTTGACTAACCACCTTCCTGAATATAAACTCTATTGTCGTTGCCTCACTCGAACGCCAAGTCCATACTTGTCTGATGCCTTGGTCACATTTGCTCCGATCCATCGGCCGACGCCTGCTCGATTGAGTGTTTTGCTCAATATTGTATTCAATTTTGAACAAAATACTCAATCGGCCGGGCGCCGTAGAGAAAATCGGAGGAAATGTGACCAGGGCATAACAACCCCCCTGAGTAAAAAACTTCATTGCCGTTGCCTCCCACGAACGCCAAGTCATGATACCCGCTCTTTTATTTATACAAACGTAATCCATGATGACAATTCAGTCTATTTATGCAGGTTACCAGTCTATTCTCTTTATTGTTGGAACATAGTGAAATGAAAAAAATATTCCAAAAGAGAGGGTTACATTTTTATGTCACCCTGTAGCAGAAACACTAATCATTTGTTCTTTCAAATTTTTCTTCATTGTTTTCAGTATAGCAACACAAATATATAACCTTCAATACAAGATTCGTTCTCATATTTTTGTTTCAATTTCATATCTCAGTAACTTAAATCATATTAAAAAGATATCAGGCCAGTATGTTAGGCCTCTCACTAAAATTAAGCATGTACATAAAAACTTCAATACTTTAAAGTAATGCATTTTCCAAAAGATTAACAACATAGCACTGGTGAATAAGTAATAAGTTACGTTTTAGGCTGTAAAAACAAAGAACATTTGTAAAAATAAAACAGCATAAACTACCATCAACCCGATGGAGAATACAATAATTGTTATTACCAATGTTGTAATTCCCTTTAATAACTCTGAAAACCGAAGTCTTCAATTCATTGTGTCAAAGCCTGTTAACATTTTTGAATTTTGATTTCGTTCCCTTTAAACAATAGTTTTAGAATGATGAATTTTAAATATCTTCCAGTTTCCAAACTTAATGAGGGGATAGTAGAGTTTCTATATCGGATCTAGTATCATGGATTTACACTTAAATCCATTAGCATCGTAAAGTTTTTAATACATATCTGCGCAGGCATACACAGAGAAGATGTAAGTTACACTCCCCTGCATAAGTTTGGCGACAGGAAGTCCAATTTGGATCAATTATCAAAACCTGAATTGATATTCACACAGACAGGCTTTGCTATGCTATCCAATGAAAACCGGTTGCTAAACTTACGGAAGGGAGTGTAAATGAATGAGAGGTTACATAAACAAAAGGGAGAATCGGATACATTGAGCAAATTTCATTCAGAGATGGATGGTTTCTACAATACAATACAATACAATACAATACATACGCAAACTATTACAAAAGCTTAACTAGGTTACGCGTACTATGGAGGATTGGCTTTCAAGCTCCCAAAGGACGCAACGTTCGCATGAATGAACTGCAAGGAGAATGGCCGATATTCTAATGACCTTGACCTTTATCGAAGACAACCTTGAAATGCAGTTATTTTCTGACATTGTAAATTCACAATCTGCGATCCAAAATATCTGAAATAGCTTGTGTGATTTCAATTCTTTCTAAGGAAATAAGATCAAAACTCGCCATTCAAATTCCGAAGTGAAAAAATGGCGGCTGGGTTTGATTTTGAATTTTGTGATCACGACATGACTCAATACATGTATATGTATATGGCAGAATATCGAGTAGAAACCCTAGGAGCGTACCCGGGCTTTTTCACGTGATCATATCAAACAAATTGATTAGCTGGTGTATCAACTTATGTGCACAATGCGTCTTAGCATTTGTAAATAAGGGCAACAAATAACAGTGAAACAAATAACAAACAATCCGAACGTTTTTTTTTTATTTTAGTTTTATTAAAATTTATTAATATATCAATTGAAATAAATCGTCTTCTCATGCGCTGTAATCTGGTTTATCAACTAAAACTTTCGGGAAGAGTTGTAATGTCTTGAATACTAGATAATCAATCATAAGGTCTGACGTGTCGGTGGCAAGTAACTCGCCAGCTCCGGCAGTGATAATGTTCTCTGGTTTGGATGCCATCTTCAACCAGTTTTCCCTTGCTGTAACATAAGCAAGACATTGCTTGTTCAGACTAGAATCTCATCATGTAAAATTGTTTGCCTTGATTTGTCAGACCAGACCACATCATACATAATCATGTAATTAGCCAAATTAGATTTTTATAGGATATCCTATGATTTTGAGGAATATCATTTTTATTTACGAGGTTATATTGATATCTGCACGAGAGAGCGAAGCGAACGAGTGCATATACCAATATGACAGAGTAGATTAAAATGAATTCTGAAAAAAATCATAGGATGTTCTTATTATCCTACACTTACAAGGAGTGTACTAAATGTATAATATCGTTGCAAAATGAATTTCATGCCAAATAGATTCAATTTGGCGGGAAATCAACAAGCGGAGTATATCGTCACAATATCCTCCGCATATTGGGTTTTCCGGAGTATATCGTCACGATATCCTCCGCCCGGAGTATATCGTCACGATATCCTCCGGATATTCATTTTGCCAAGAAATATCAAATTTATTTTTTAATGTTATTATACATTTAGTACACTAAGTGAAGGATAAAATGAATTATGTGCAACGATATCATTGGTCTGACAAGATCACGTGATACAGAAATGTATGCCACGATTGGTCAGATTAGATCACATGATTTAGAATTCTATTAGTCGGATCAGATGTAATGAAAAATATTTATTTATTTGTGATGCGAGTGGTAAAATCCGATGATATAATTACATAGTACACACGGTCATTTTCAGTCAAAGGTAACATTAACGAATTCAACTGCCGGGTGACGACTGGCGGTTTGACCTACTTTTTGTCACTCATTTAAATATGAATAGAATAGTGGCAGGTTCTATTCATATTTAAATGAGTAGCCCGTGAAATTGTAGGTAAGTCCAACAGCCGTCAGCTGAATCCGCGAATGCTACCTTAGATTGATCACTGGCATAAACTGTTTGGTTGCTAATACATGTGTACAAACTCACCGTTCTCGTAAGACTTTGATTTGTCGGAATAATGTGTCACCCCAACAACAAATATTTCGGCAACCTCTTTCAAAGCATCTAGTGATGCTACGAACTTGTTGTCAGCTCCGATTGTGCCTTGGCGACTGTAAACACCATCATCGAATACTACAACGACAATGTTAAAACAATTAGAGTACATTAGTAGATGGGACTTACATGTTTATGCGGTATTTTTATTACCAGGCTAATCACATTACCCTACCTCCAAACCGTAGCTGTAGGGATACAGGCTACGGTGAAGTTGAAAATGGAGGGCGTTTGTTTATTTCCATATTTCTGAAGGTATAGTATTTTACATATATCCCTGCAGCACATTATTACCAGAAAAGCCCTATAGACAAAGATAGGGATTACCCTCTCCATTTACCACTTCGCTGTAGCCTTAACCCTTTCAAAGAAATACAGGCTACGATATGGGGGTAGGGTAGTGTGTAATATATACGTATTTCAATGGTACAATGTCTTCCAGTGTTTCAGGATATTTTTTCGAGGGCTTTATATCCACGCGTGGATGTTTTTGGCCAATGACAAACTTGATCCAAACAGACACTTGGCACAAAAATATAATGCTAGCCGTGATTGGTCAGATCAGGTCACAATATGTAGAATTATTATGCTAGCTGTGATTGGTCAGAACAGGTCACAATATGTAGAATTATTATGCTAGCTGTGATTGGTCAGAACAGGTCACAATATGTAGAATTAATATGTTAGCCGTGATTGGTCAGATCAGGTCACAATATGTAGAATTATTATGCTAGCTGTGATTGGTCAGATCAGGTCACAATATGTAGAATTATTATGCTAGCTGTGATTGGTCAGAACAGGTCACAATATGTAGAATTAATATGCTAGCCGTGATTGGTCAGATCAGGTCACAAAATGTAGAATTATTATGCTAGCCGTGATTGGTCAGACCAGGTCACAATATGTAGAATTATTATGCTAGCCATGATTGGTCAGAACAGGTCACAATATGTAGAATTATTATGCTAGCCGTGATTGGTCAGATCAGGTCACAATATGTAGAATTATTATGCTAGCCGTGATTGGTCAGATCAGGTCACAATATGTAGAATTATTATGCTAGCCGTGATTAGTCAGAACAGGTCACAATATGTAGCATTATTATGCTAGCCGTGATTGGTCAGATCAGGTCACAATATGTAGACTTATTATTATACTAGCCGTGATTGGTCAGATCAGGTCACAATATGTAGAATTATTATGCTAGCCGTGATTGGTCAGATCAGGTCACAATATGTAGAATTATTATGCTAGCTGTGATTGGTCAGAACAGGTCACAATATGTAGAATTATTATGCTAGCCGTGATTGGTCAGATCAGATCAGATCCAGTGAGGAAAGACAGTTTGTCCTTTCAGCTACGACAATTACCCAGATACGAGTAGGTAGTTACCAGTTTCACCACCAGGTGGCTGATTCGGGTTAATTAACACGGCGGGTATATAAGAACGTTCCCTTAAACCTGAATATTATCAGTTTAAGTCGATCAATTTTCATATAATCCTTATGTGTCTGATAATTATACAAACGAAAATATGCCCAGTGAGAGAAAATATTATCTGCCCAACACAAAAGATATTTCACTTTTTGTGATTTTGAAACATGTGGTCTATGGGGAATCTCCCCGACCTAGAAGTCACATTTTCAAAGAAGATTAAATTTTCAAAGTTAGTTAATGATTTTTTGAACAACATTTCTAGATGGAATTAAACATGTGAACTTCAAATATGACATGATCCCCTTTAACTTAATTTTGAATATTTAATGAAGTGAATCTGTAAAATTATTTCTACTCGTATATCTAGTATGTTGCACTGCAACAAGACTGTTTTATTTTATTTTAAGGGGCATTCAAAAAGTTACATTACCTAACACGAGGTTGCGGTTGAACTCTCGGCCATAGGGAGAATACGGAGAATTGCCGAAATAATCCTCGCGTATTTTGTCGAATGATTTGTGTGGTTTTGCTTTCTTCTTTGGCTTCAGATCCATATTTGTGATACCATATTCCAGAGAAGCAATGTTCTCAAAATCGGTGAAACCAAAATGCATGGTGAGATTTCCAAAGAAGCATAGAGCGCCAACTTTGCTGTTTTTGACCAGTCTTTCACTACCATCTGCACTAAAGACAGGTCCAATTCGTAACTGTCTCACTAGACGCTTCATAAACTCCCTCGGGACTACACCCCCTAACATTTCGATGTCATCTTTATGAGATGGCGATGTTGTCCTAGATGTATTGATGTCAAAAACAAGGTCGACTCCTCCATCTAAATATAGAATTACACATACTTAGCGCAAGAGGCCATATCCCAGAATACAAAGATAAATCTCCATCTCCATATAAAGATAAACCGAAAGATTCAATTTTACATGGATAAAACTGAGAAGTTCAGCTATGAACTCTGGGATATTTCATCGACATTTAGCCCAATACAATGTGACACTTTGATGGTCTCTAATTAGGAATATGGCTATATTAACAGGTACAATCCAAGAAATTGTTGTTTAAGGTATTTCCGTATGTTCAGAGGTTTAAATGGCTTCCTCATTGAAGTCCTATGTTATTTTCTGGGCACAGAACACACAACGAGGACACAAATGTTCCGAGATTAATAGTTGAGAGTAAATACTTTTCTAAAAATGTATGAAAATTTCGAAAATTCAGAGACCTTCTTTTCAAAAGCACAAAAAATGTAGGTCAGTGAATTTGTTTCTCTTTTGAAATATCTGGAATATTTGTAAGCCCTGAACTAATAACTTCCATGTATAGTATGTTTATGCATTACTTGTGCAATATTGAAACGTGCAGACCAAGAATGGAATGAGTTAAGTGTTCCTGAAAATGATATGTTGCAACTCACTTAGTATTTCAGATATCATTGAAATGTGCTGTCTTCGTTTCATGCTTCGAAAACCTAATTACTCAAGCAATTATTGTATGTATTTCTATAACCATATTTCGAAACCAGAACATACGCACTACATGTGCAGCACTGTCTTAGAAAACAGCAATGTACAATGCTGTTTTACAGCGCTGTCCAACACTATTTCATGAACAACGCTGTACAATACTGAGATGCGTAGATGTGTAATGTAGATACTCACAATTTTCTTCAGGCTGGGTATAAGCATCTGTAAAATCAAAAACATAGAAATTAGATTTCCAGTTGACCTTTTCCAACTGCCATGATGCCTACTAATTAATCTATTTTACATAGTAGGAAGTGATGTCATCAACTCTTAAGTTTACATATAACATTAGGCAAAAAGTTATACGAAAAGCACAAAACCAGTTCTACTGGTAAAGTTGACAATCAAGCACTGAAAATATTTTTGCACAGGAAGTACAGACTGTTTGTCTAGAGATGGTTTTGTGCTACTTTTTTATTATAGCGATGGGCAAGTTTATAAAAGTTAGCAGTCCCGTGTTTTGTCAACTAATATAGAAAGCGAATAAAAGGTTATGGCCACCATATAAAAATGGAAAGGGGTTGCAAACGAGTGATTCCCTATCCGAATTATACGTACCGTATCTTTCTCTCTCACAGGAGCCTGGAGGATAGAATTGATTTGCTTGATTTAGGCAGCTATTGTCGAGGCAATCGGCCTTTCCAAGCATAGCGTAAGGTAGTTTAAAAGTCTAAAGGAAAAGTTGGATACAATTAGAATAACACATGGACAATTTTATTTATATTTATATTAATGCATTATTAACATGACTGCATTCGTCATTGGAAGCACATTACATTCCGAACACTCGAAACCTACGTGGATTTCAAGAGAATTTCACTTGATGTAGACTGGCTGAGTAAATAGCCATTTATAACAATGCTGGTCCTCCGGACTTCGGGGAATATACCTAGCTAGAATCATTGAAAGATGAACATGTATTCAATTTTCGTAGTATTATGATAAATTGCAAATTTACACTGGGTGACAATTGCCACAGCCGTTACATGGTCGGCCGGTAAATAAGAGGGGGGGGAGACCCCAGGATTCAAAGAGGACATATGTCTATAATGTATATGTGTATTGAGAAGACATATACACTTGTATAGTCGCTGATTGGTCAAGATGTTAATATTTGGCGAATTAACCGATATCATTACTTATTATTTCACATCAAGATAAAGAAAGATAGTATAGACTTATGAGAGAGTGAGGAATATGAAAGTGATATAATAATATACAAATATTTCATACAATTGGGGCGAATATATAATTATCTAGTACCTGTTCATCCTTCAAATATTCTACAGTTCATTTCAATTAGTTTTATTGACAGATATTTTCTTACCTGGTCATGGGCGTCATAAAACATGTTAGGACAACCACAACATGCGGCACCAAAACAAGCTGGCCCGGGAGGTAAACAAATCTGACCTATAGAATGTAAAATGAATATTGTTATTTCCCGTCTACATAGGAACAATTCTGACATATAGAATGCAAAATGAATATTATCATTTCCCGTCTACATAGGAACAATTCTGACATATAGAATGCAAAATGAATATTGTTAGTTCCCGTTGATATAGGAACAATTCTGATCTATAGAATGTAAAACGAATATTGTTATTTCCCGTTGATATAGGGACAATTCTGACCTATAGAATGTAAAGCGAATATTGTTATTTCCCGTCGACATAGGGACAATTCTGACCTATAGAATGTAAAACGAATATTGTTATTTCCCGTCGACATAGGTACAATTCTGACCTATAGAATGTAACATGAATATTGTTATTTCCCGTTGATATAGGGACAATTCTGACCTATAGAATGTAAAATGAATATTGTTATTTCCCGTCGACGTAGGAACAATTCTGACCTATAGAATGTAAAACGAATATTGTTATTTCCCGTCGATATAGGAACAATTCTGACCTATAGAATGTAAAATGAATATTGTTATTTCCCGTCGACATTGGAACAATTCTGACCTATAGAATTTAAAATGAATATTGTCATTTCCCGTCGACATAGGAACAATTCTGTCCTATAGAATGTAAAATGAATATTGTTATTTCCCGTCGACATAGGAACAATTCTGACCTATAGAATGTAAGATGAATATTGTTATTTCCCGTCGACGTAGGAACAATTCTGACCTATAGAATGTAAAACGAATATTGTTATTTCCCGTCGATATAGGAACAATTCTGACCTATAGAATGTAAAATGAATATTGTTATTTCCCGTCGACATAGGAACAATTCTGACCTATAGAATGTAAAATGAATATTGTTATTTCCCGTCGTCATAGGAACAATTCTGACCTATAGAATGTAAAATGAATATTGTTATTTCCCGTTGACATAGTTACATGTGTCCTGACCTATAGAATGTATATTGCTATTTCCCGTTGATATAGGAACAATCCTGACCCCTGACCTATAGAATGTAAAATGAATATTGTTATTTCCCGTTGGCATAGGTATATGCGTCCTGACCTAAAGAATGAAAAACGAATATTTTCTCTTTGAGTAAAGCTACATTAGGTTTCTGCATTGGTGTTTGTAAGACATAGATTATTTTAATATTCAAAAATGACTTCAAAACTCGACATAATAATGTCTGTAGTGTCGAGTCCAGTTCTATTTTTTCGTTCAGTGTTAAACTTCAGCCGATCAAACCTTATGTATTGTATGTTTATTTGTACTCTTTGCATTGTATTAAAGGAATGTCTTTATATGGATTATGCACTGGGATCTTAAATATTATACATGATGTATCCCGAAGGAAATTCATGTTCCTCCTGAAGGACCGATTGTTTTTAAACCAGAATTTGAAAAATGATTCGAAAAGTCACAATTGATTCAAGTAAGAAGGCACATTCGAATCGATGAAATAAATGATAAATTGGGAAATATTTCCTATTTGTGAACAAAAATGTATGTAAAGTAAGTACACGTGCACTTAAAATAAAATAAACATACAAGAGCAGAATCAATGTATTGACACTAATTGTTGATTTTATACTTAAAGCGGCAGTAGAAATGCCCTTTCAGGGCGATTACGCCGTGATTAATAATGTAAATTTATTTATGATTTTAAGAAATAAAGAGTATTTATTATTAAAAAAAACTAATTGTTGATAAAACATGATAAACAACTTGTAAAATCCCTGAAGTGATAGAAATGTAATGAACTAAAGTAGTGGATCTATTAATTCCATATTCTGCTATATTCAATTAAAGATAATAAATGCATTCGATATTTCCCCAAAAATATTAGGTCTATGATTGTTTCAAGCAGTTTCGATTACATGTATTTGAAAAAGTTTTTTTGGTTTATACATGATTTAAAAGTTGGAAATGTTATATTAAGAAAATGAATGTCACCTGAAATGATCTGCAGAACTCCGATCAAGTGAAAAAATAAGCACCACTTCTTAACAATCATCTGAAAATAAACACAACGTGAAATGTTATTTTTTTATTTTTTTTTATTTTTTTTATTTTATTTTTTTTATTTATTAAAATCAATGTAACATATTTACAGGTTTTAGTGGCTATGACCCCCAAGAGGGAGTATTAGTTGAAGGTAATGCCTCTTTAAGGGTTCATAAAGAGACAGTATCCCTTCCTTTAAAAGTTAATATTTTACCATAGGCTTTTATAATTATAAGATACAAAATCAAAATACAAAATAGTAACTCTTACCTTTGTTTCGTCAATTCTTCTATATTAAAAATCTCTAGTTTGTTGTTTTGATGTACACGGACTGACTTTTATTTGTCGTATATATATACACACACACATAATTTTATTACACTATAAATTTGTTTTGCTACTTTATGTCTATTGATCGATTGATGATATTTGTCGCCATTGTTCTCGGGGACAAAGAAATAATTGAGGAGTTTGACAATAAATTAATGACTGGTGATTGAGCACGCGTCACCACGCTAATCGGCGCCCGCTGATCAAACAAAATAACTTTAAAACAACAATAATAGACAGCGTCATGAGGGTGATACGATCCCACTCATTGATATAGTCGGCTCTCTTTACGATGCAGTCATGGCTATCTGGAAGACTGCTCTGCCACTTGGCTCGTCTCCAAGAGGGCTCTCCTTATTTCCTTTGTGGGATGAAAATAGACTTGAAACATCCATCTAAGAGATTTTCATGCCAACAGTTCCTATTTTTGCGAAGCCTATTGGACTATATCCATGAGTTTCAGTATTGTTATATGTGACTAATATGTCATTGCAATGACACCAGAGAGTCAATAAAATAGATATACAGGGTGACCGGAAAAAAGGAGACCATTGAAATAGGCAATATCTCCTAAAATAGACTAGTGACATCAATGAAATTTTGCATACATCAGGATAGTTCTATGGAAATTTGTTCTTGAAAGTGTCAATACAAGCAGTCAACTGGTTCAGGAGCTATGATCATTTACATAACATGCTCCAAATAGGCGCAATTGAGACCAACGCAGAGCTGGATACATTTGGCAAATACCCTTACATATTCCGACCTTGTTATGGCATTACATTTAGCATTTATTGCCACCTTTAGGTCAGCAATTGTCTCAGGATTGTTTTGGTACACATTGTCTTTCAAATTGCCCCACAAAAAGAAATCAGGTGGATTCAAATTTGAGGTGTATGGAGACGAAGCTTATCTGACCTATGGCTTCTGACTCAGTGGTCCCACTCAGTTACAGTATCATCCTAAGGAGGTTTTGGGCAGCCCTTGGTTTCCATATGGGATTTAATTGTGCCATATAGTGGTTTTAGTAACATGGCACTATGCCCAATACCTAAAGTGACTCTTAAGATTGGGTAAATCAGCACTTTGGCAACAGGATGATGAACCACATGTCAGATAACCCTTCATTGCCATTACAGCCTAGACTTGAATCCTGCTGATTTCTTTTTGTATGGATATTTGAAAGACAATCTATACCAAAACAATCCTCAGACTATTGTTGACCTAAAGAAGGCAATCACTGCTATATGTAATGCCATAATAATGCCATAGAGGGCAGAACATGTAAGGGTAGTTTGCCATATGAATCCAGCTCTGCGTTGGTCTCAATTGTGCCTATTTGGAGCATGTTATGTAAATGATCATAGCTCCTGAACCAGTTGAATGCTTGTATTGAAACCTTCAGTAACAAATTTCCATATAACTGTTCCAGTGTATGCAAAATTTCATTGATGGCACTTGTCTAGTTTAGGAGAAATTGATTACTTCAATGGTCTCCTTTTTTTCCGGTCACCCTGTATTATATAAACTGAAAAATCGATGTGAGAAATTATAAATCAATATCAAACCAGGGATACTTTAAAGGTGAAAGAATTATTTATCTAAAATGATTCCTGCATTTTATCAAAAAAGATTTCAAATGCATGCATCAATAAAAAAACGTTTGCCAAATAAAAAATCATGAACGTTTCTTGGATGCACTTTGTATAAAGACTAGTTACCGTTCGTTAATTGAGTGTATTCATCTTCAATAAAAGAGATATAAACAAAAATAAATAAAACGTGCTAAAAAGGAAGGACAATTAATCAATCAGAAACTCATTAGGACATATTATTTTATTTTATCGTACATATTTCCTTGAAAGATGTAGTAGAAAAAATAATAAGTAATCTGTAAAAGATCTAATTTTGCATAAAACATTTAAAAAGGTGCTATTTTACTGAAAAATACGAATAAATTTTAAGAAAGGTGTGTTGATTGGTGCAATAAACACGGCTTATGAGATAATCCAATTGATTTTGAATACATCTATGAACTCGCACAAAGTTACAGGTGTCTGAAATCTGTTGCCATAACTCCAGTAGACATTTAACGCCAATATTGGCACGTCATGTGCTTAATAATACTTAAGCACACAATTTGATATTGCAACCACACCAAAACGTTTTATTGATGATACACAATACATATTTTTATCGTATGATCTGTAAAATGAAGCCCTCTGATTGGTCAGTTCTTGTGCTGTCAAATCTGTATTGCTAATGAAATTTTGTTCCCGTTGATCATCTCCGTTGCAATACAGAAAATATTGGTACGGAGGGGACGATCTCAGTAGCAATACTGAAGATCACACGATAAAAACGTTACTGAATGATTTGAAGTGTAATACAGGATATATTCTGTCTCTATATTCTGTATTGGCACTCGACTTCGTCTCGTTCCAATACGGAATTTCTCGACCAGAATATATCCTGTATTGCACTTCAAATCATTCAATAGCTTACAATATACTAACATGTAAATGATAATTTAATCCCAAAATGAATGTGCCATGAAGTGGGATATGTATTCTCCAAAGATATTTTTTATTGATGATGAAGGCTCACATCATGACATGTAGCCTTGCCCAAGTCGGTATTTTTTACATATCTGATCTTGAATTATTACCGTCTTGTACAATCGGATGAATCCCCAGTGATATTATGATAAATTATTCAGCGGTTTCGAGATTTCCATAATTCATACGCTGCTAGGGGTATCGCGAAACCGTATTGATTGACAAGATCGCGTGCACGCGACGTGTGACTTTCAGGCTGATTGACCAACCAAAACACTGTCAGGTTGAGCTGCATAAACATTTAGCAAACGGGACAGCATCTTTTCCATTCAATCGAGGTTGGGCCATACAGCCGAAGGTAAGCCATACAACCAAATTTTGCCGATTCAATCTGACGGAGGATGCCGAGCCTCTCTTTTGACTAATTAGAGATGTCCTCTTCACATTCGTGGTACCCTCGGCCAACATCGTTTGCAAATAAAACCTTCGGCAGTCTCCGGCTTTTCTTGACGTATCTTCGGTTGCAAGCCAAAAGTCGACACCCCAAAGCAAACTACCCGTATACGACTAGACATTTTCAATGATCTGATCCGGGGATCTGATGAGTATTTCCTCGGAGTTACAGTGTATTATGTAATTAAATGTACATTGGAATATAAGCAGTCATCAATATAAATTAAATAATGCGATTCAATGTTGATTTAAAACTGAATTCCTGATGAAAATGCACGAAGACCTAGTCCATGTAGCTTGATTGATCTGAATCTCAGCCTAGATCTAGCTATAATGTTCAATCATTTCAGCGAACTTTTCAACGTTTCTTATTAAAATTTTCTCACCTCTGGGTGTTCGATCGATGCACCGGCATCCACTTAGCTCTGATTGATATTAATCTGATAAAATATTTGTATTTTCATGATGAATTTGTGCAAGATCTGTTCCTGAAAAGTGTACTTGTTTTGACTGTTCATAATAATGAGCTAACGCTGCAGGGCCGTCGTTGATTGGTCAAATTTACGAGAAAGAGTCGAAGGCATGCGATGCGAATCCTGGAAACCCGGTGTGAAAGAAATGATGGTCCCCCAGGGATTATGGTCCCCTTTCTTAACGGCCCTTACTTACATTTATTTTTATTCATAAATATGGATAATATTTGATTTAAATACAATTCCGAGCTATTACCATTCTCCAGTGTTGACAATTTTTTGTGTCAGTCTGGGTCAAAATCTTACGATATTACAATTGATAACGATGAACCCTTCTAATAATTGCAATTAAATCCAGGTTTGAAAACTCCCGAAAATAACACGAACGACTCTGATTATGAACCGTTCACATTTTTGCAAAGGAGGATTTGGATGACGGCAAACCCGGGTTTTGAGGGCGCGACTTATGGCAACGAGTACTTCTGAAATTTACCGACATCACATGAGTCGGTAAAGCACGTGGCTTTCTCATGGGTACAAGGCGGTCAGCAAATTAAGTAAAAGAGACCGACTTGGGAAAGGCTAGCACACATGTTGCACTACATAATTCATCATAAATTGTAACTTGAACCTCATTATGAAAAGTATACAAATAATGCGATAATAATTGTATAAAGCATACGAAAGCAATTAGTATTTTGCCCAAATTGCTTATATTTACTTGGCATTACCTTTTTTTTGGAACCATTTAAGTATATCATTTTTATTCTTCAGTAAATTATGACAACAGTAAGGTTAATTTTGTTTAAGAATTAACCCCATGGATTCTTTAGTTCATTGTCGTGCCTCATAAGTAAATAGCTTAATAGATATTTGTTATTAAATTGTTTAAATTGTACTTTAATCTGAGTTTCTGGTCTATATCATAAATGAAGTATTTTTGTATATTTATAAGTTTTTCATTGTTGCATTCGAAAAGTACATGGTATTCATCACCAATTTCTTTGGAGTCGCATAAAAAGCAATATAGTTTATCTTATACAATTTTGAATCTCCTTCCCATTTCGATTGGAAAGTTGTAGCATGAGATCCTAGTCCTTGTAACAACCTTTCTGTGGACATAATTATTAGAGACATTAAGGTATTTCTCTAGTTTATAAATGTTTTTTATTTTCCTGTACATTCTGGATTTAGATGGTATATTTCAGCTGCATTAATTTTTTGAGAGTATAGTTCTTGATTATTAAATAGTTTATTTTTCAATGTTTTGATTAATATGCTTGTGTCTGTTTTTGTTATCCCACAGAATATATAATTAATTAACTGTAGTGTTTGTCGAAGGATAATTAAGAACACAATAACACAAACTTAAATGTTTAACTCTCGCCTTGACTATGTTCTATGTCTTTATGTATAAAACTACATTAATTGCTAAGTGTAATGAACTATTGTTTAGAGTACTATGTGTGTAGGCTTATTCACTTAAAGGTGGTATCAGATCAAGGGCGTTACAATACCCGGGAATTTATCGGTTCGTGTTCAATACATGTTTGTGATAACTCCCTCTGCAGTTCAGTCAAGGGCCAACGTGAAACCCGGAATCTGCCTCGTTCGCTATTTCAATGTATTTTGCGTTCGGCCTTTTACCGTATACTTTTCTATCAACCAATGAAATACAGGGGTGCGCGAACTGATTATTATTTATTCTGACAGTGTGTTACCCCCCTTTGGACATGGAGTCCAGAGCTGAATATGTAATGGAATGTTTTCTGCTTCATTATTCGTATTTTACAATATGTATTCGTATATTGAACTTTTGAATTTGTTAAAAGTACATTTATGTTCGTAACTTTAGTATTTTAATTCATTGTTTGTATTTTCTGTTCGTTAATCTAATTTGTTTCGTTAAAACGTATATGTAGGTGTTTTATACAGAAATACATTCAAAAGTCCTCAAAAGCATTTGTAAGTGACACATTGTACATCCGTATTCAAATAATTTAAGTTCATTTTTTACCATTATCGTTGTTTCTGCAAATATATTAGTTTAATATCTACGAACTGAATGTCAAATTTATCAATGAATAAGTACTTGTCTTGGCATTTCAATTTTTAATTGTCGAATTTATTTTCGTAACAAGGTAATATGTTTCTGTAAAAGTGCACATTTACTGTTCGTAAATATTGTCAATTGTATTCGTAAATTGCACTTATATATTCGTTTTTCATTGGTTCATTAAGATCACGTGATCATTCTCAACGAGACCTGATCAAGACATGGTCAAAATCATTACCCCTCCCTCTCACACACCTAAAACTCTCGTGTCACGTGACCTACTGTATGCCCCGAGACTTGCAGTTTATATTCGTAAACTCACATTTGTATTCGTAAACACTCACATTTATATTCGTAAAGTTTCATTTTATTATTCGTTAATGTACGAATATTTATTTGCTTTCTGCAATAATTCATGGGTAATTTGCAAGATTATTATTCGTAAAAATACATTTCTGCGATAAAATAACTGGTAACTTATTTGAAATTTACGAATTATAAACTGTAGTTGGCGAATAATAAATTGCTAGTTACAAATATTTCCAGTCCTTACAAACATAAAATGCACCCGATTTAGGGAATTATTTGTCTATT